TTTCAGGAGTTGGTCGAGGTGGTTGGACGTTTCGTACGACAGCGTATCCGTGGAGAGGGGGAGAGAGAGAGAGGGAGAGAGAGAGAGAGAGAGAGAGAGAAGTCTCGCACGCGAACGCAAGATAAGAGACTTCTCCTGCCGAGCCTTCTTCAGCCGTAAATATCCCACGCAAGTTCGCTCGAGCAATATTCAGCAATCCGATTATCGTTTGCAGGCTAACTGCAGCCAGCATAACACTTGTTTCCAAATGAGCTGCTGCTACTGCTGCTGAAAATACAAGTTTTTCCCGCAACTGGCGGAGCTAATGAGCCGAGAGCTATGTTCAAATATTTCTTTATTTCTCTTTCGGAGAAGTTGCTACGCGATACTCGCTCTTCCAATGTTTTTCTGGTCATTAAGACAGCAGCAGCAGCAGCAGCAGCAGCAGCAGCAGCATCGCCGAGAGATCCGCTCGTTACGAGAACTCGAAGGTAAAGGCTAGCTCTTTGTACTCGGCCAAAGCTATGCAATCAACGATTGCTGTCTTGCATTTGATAGGATCGATCGGCAGACTGCTAGCCGAGGGTTTGGGTTTTAGTCGAGAGAGCATTTTCGGCGAGTGGCAATTTGCGAGCAAAACAGTCGAGCTGGAGAGGCGACTCGGCGTGGCAAAAAGCCGAGCTAAGCGAAGGCGGCGAGTGCAGAGCGCTTTTCCAATCTGCGCTCGCGGCGACGAACTGGAAGCGATCCGTGCGCGTGACGCCGGTCAGGCTTGTCCATCGGTTTGGGCATTCGTCGAGGCGAGAGCGTAGCCAGGAGAGCGCAAGAACCGAGACACTGGATCGGGCCTCGCTGGCGGCAAAAGCTCGGCCGATCGGACAAGTACGCGCGTAACTTTGAGCGCGCAGTCGGGCAAGTTTCTTGCCGCGAAGTTTCATTAGGAGGCCCGGAGACTGGTGCAGCTATGATTGGAAAAGTTGGCGAATAGTTTTGAGGGAGCGAGGCCCGCGTCGCGTATTCTTCCCTGCCGAATGCCCACGCAGCGCCCGGCAGCCAGCAGTCGTTCGATCAGCGAAACCCCAGCCAATTAAACCTGCTCGGTTCTCTTGGACGATACTTTGTCCAAGCCTTCCCTCGTCTTTCTTCCTCGCATTACCTCGCCGCTCGCCGCTCGCCGCTCAGCTTGCAATTGGCTCCAACTACTTTGCAGAGGGATTTTCGGCATCCATTCGAATATTTACTCTCGGTCTGATTGCACTTTCATTTAAATTATAGCATTGTTGCCTTCATTTCATTACCTCTCGCTGCATACTCAGGCTCTCTACCGATTTCATCGAGTGATTTACTTTTTAATTAATTAATTATCAAATGAAAGGTCGATAGTGCAAACGTGAATTCGCCGGCCGTAATCTAGGCCAAACGAAATGCGAACAAATTTCGAGTAAAATGCGAAAAGGGAAATAAAAACCAATTGAAAGTGTAACGTGCTCGTGCGTTATATTCTAGCTTCCGAACGAGCTGAGTAAGAGATAGCGCGCAATCGTTTGACGACTTAACATCAGCATTTATATATACTTTTTTTGCCGATAGACAAGCGATTTATCACTCGAGTCGAGTGTGCGCGTCGTGTATGCCATATGAACTACACATGTACAAGCCACTATCGGTTGACACGCGAAAATTGGCTGCTTTGCAAAGACGGCGACAATGAGAATGAAAGAAACAAACTAATAATCGAATAATCCGCATTAATGCGCATTCACTCCCTCTTTGATCGTTTCGCGCTTGCCTACTTGGAAATACTTGTCAATGTTATTTATTTTTCGCAGTTTTCGTTATTCGTTCAGACTTGCTCTCCTTTATCCGATTTATTGGCGTGCGCACTTTTAAAACATCAACGCCGTAATATACGAGTATCGGATTTAACTTTTTCAGCTACTTTCCGAATTTGTTGGTTCACGCCGCGCTTTGAATATTTATTTTTCATGGCTTCATGGCTTGTGCGCTTGGCTTGGCTGCTTCCCTCGGGACTGAAATATACGTATGAGAGAGAATGTGAAATAGCGACGAAGATAACGGCTACGTGATTGAGTCGGAAAGGCGAGGGAAAGCTGGCACTTGGCGCCTCCGATGCGAACTGCGAAGGTGCGAATTGATAAAATTGTTGCACACAGTTATGCGCGAAGTAAATGCCAAATAGTCTTGTCCGATTAAATGCGCCGAAGCCAGTCGAATTGATAGGCTAGCTGCTGTGCAAAGTGCAATCAAGTTCTTCAAACAGCAATAAATGCGTTGCACTGCTATTCAAGTATAATCGATTGCTACGCCTGGCTAACTTGGGATCGATAGCACGCATCGTTTACTGCCTATAGTGTGCAGCGCGTTTTTCACAGCGATTCATCACTCGGTCGGCTCGGCTCGGCATGGCGCGCCAGCGAATCGTAGAGCTGGCTATCATTTCGCGTGCATTCAGCTGTCTAACGCAAAATAAGGCTTATTCTTATGCATTTTCAGCCGCTCAATCTCTCTCTCTCTCTCTCTCTCTCTCTCTCTGCCCACCGCTTTTTCCCAAAAGCTCGCGCCTTTGCTATATTACCTTCAAGGCATTGCGCTATATCGACAATGTGCTCTCATTGTCAATCGCGATAATGCCGCCACCTGCGCTAATATTCTGGCATAAAACACCTGAGAAACGAGTGCGTGCTTTTGATTATTTACGAAAAGCAGACTTTCAGTTCTGAGCGATTCATGACTTTTTAAATATGCACTTTAAGAACCAGTTATTAGAGCGCTCTTCTTCTTCTCGAGATAATCGAAAACCAATTGGTCCGAATGATCCATAGTTTGTTGAAACGCTTGCGATTCAAACACGAAAGTACCGGTTTTTCGGTTTTCCGAAAAAAAAAGGCAGTATTCAGCAGCTCAAAATACACAAGAGTAAGCTTTACTTTGCCCTGATGCACACAAAATGATCAGCAGTTGCCTTTGAAACAACAGCGCTGTCATTAGCAGACATTGTATTTATGGATTCCGCTGATATAGCCTGAACTAATTACTAACGGATTAGCGATCTCTGTTCTGAAGCTGACAGCCAAATTCATACATTTGTTTTTGGGATTGATCAAAGCTGTGCGGAGTCGGCTGCTTGCCCGCACACTTTTTCGATAAGCCTATTTTCTCCATAAACCTGTCCATCGGCTAGTAGGCTATATATATACCAAGAATAAAAACAAGCATATTTCCCAATCACGGCATTTGTTAGCGCGCCGAAGCGTACGCAATGTCTTATCGGCGGAATTGATAAATGACACAGTGACCACTTGCTCACATATCGTTAATCGTTGTGCTATTCAATACGAATGTCGAGCGCTGTATCAGAGTAGAACCTCCATCTGCTAAATTTTTGCCAAATTGCTTGAGAGTATTGAAACAGTTGAGCTTGAATGACTTTTATCAGTCGTACATCCTTGACACTATACAACGCGCGTTGTATAACTGTTGCTCGAAGCTACGTAATCACGAAGCGACATGTATAGACTGTAAAGAGCAGTTCTCCGCATCAACAGCACGCATGGGAGTTGCAATCGGGGCTTTTATTTTAAAGATCTTAAAAAGGACGGCAGCTTGAGATATTCGGATTGACGAATTCCACATTTTCCTTTTACTTGCGGGCTGCTCTTCAGAGCTATGACCATTCATTTTACTAGCAATTCATTTGAATAATTTGCTCGAGTGAGTTTGATGAAATTACCAACGACTACATGCAAGCGAAATTGAATGAAGAACCATTGGAAGACAATTACGTGCGACATGACGCTAAGTAAATTTACGATTCACTCAATAAGCCAAAGTCCGCGCAAGTGGAAATAGAAATGTTCGATTGAAAATCCCGAAGCAGGCGAAATGCATCGTAATGCACTGGCACTTTCTTGATAAGTAAAACGACGATACAAATGGAAATGAAGTCGCAGGGCTGGAAAATTACGCGAGCACGTTAGACGTTTCATGAAATTACTTTGAACAAATGAATTTTTGTCGCTGACTGCGCGCTCGTTGTGACAGGGAGAAAGCCACGTAACCAACGCATCGTACAGAGCGCTGAACGGTAATATTGTTAAGCGCTGGAAAGCGGGGACAACAATAGTAGCACGATAGAAGCAATAATTGAAACTGAATATAATTAGGTATTCGTAGGTTAGTGGCGATACACTGCAATGACTGGAATATTGATTTTCGAGAGCGAGCGAAGCAAAAAGAACGCGGAACGGACGGTAACGCGAGAGACGGCCCGCGCAAAGAGTAAAAGTGTAGTGAAGCGAGGTGCGCCCGGAGTGCTCCGCGAGAGCATAATTAAAGATCAGCGGGGCAAACGCAAAGGACAGCTGGCGGCGATCGAACGGCGAGAAGCATCGCCTGTACGTGATCCCGCAGAGCCGCCTGAGCAACAGCCGAGCAGAGCGCCTATGCTCCATATCGCGAGCATGTGCTGTTTACTTTGGTAAGTTGTGTCGGCCAAAGCAGAGAGAGACGAGAGAGACGAGAGAGACGTTTTTCAGGTCGAGCACCGCCAGCCGAGAAGAAAATAGTCAGCGAGATGGAATGTCGAATAAAGCGGGAATGTTTTGGCCGAGCGCAGCTTCGCTGATTTCTCTCTGCTACTTTGCTGGTGACGGGCCGCGACTCGCACAACTCGCACGGGCACGCGCTGTCGGCTGACTCGATCACTCGATGACTCGGCGCTAATCCGCTCGGAAGAAACGTCACCGGCGCGGCGCGACGCCAAAGAAAGGACGAGAGTGGACTGTCCGGCCTGACGTCGGAGGTCGCCGAGTGTGGCTGCGCGCGGCAACGGAATCCGGCTTTGCGGAGCGCGCCGAGTGCGGAGAGCGAGGGGGGCCGCTCGTGGCAGCTCGTGGCAGCTCGTGGCGAACGGCGAACGCGTCGGCGCGCCAAGTGCTGCTGCGAGCAGCTGCGCTCGAGTCGGATTCATTAGGCGAGTAATTAGGCGTGGACGGGCCTACCTGATTGGAGCGATCGACCAGAGCACACGTGGCGCGAGTGCCAGCGGGCAGCTGCCGCTTCACCTCGCCGCTGGCGCACGCAGCAAAGACACTGCGCGGATCCGCGCGGGTGGCCAGTGGCCGCTGGACCGACCACCTGTTACGGCGGCGAGTGCTCGCGGCTGGCGGCTCGCGCGCACTAGGCCGAGGGCAACCTCGGGACACCGGCTGCGCGCTGGCGGCGAGTCGACCGGATCCCGTTATCGGACAGCGGCGGGCCGATCCCGAGTGCGTGCTCGCTCGAGGCCGTGGCGCAGCGCCGACTGAGGTCCGACAGCCGAGGGAAAGCCGTGCCAGCGCGGCCGGCAGCCGGAGCGCGCGCGCGAGGGGGGGCTCTCGCCGCCGACGCCGTCGCCACCTAGCAGCCCGCAGCTCCACTTTCGACCGGCGAACGTTCGTTCGCCGTGCGACCGTGTCGCGCACCGCCTCGCCGGGCCCGGCCGAAGCGACGCCCGGGCCCGCCGCTACGACTTAGCCCGCTGCGCCTCGCGCCACCACTTAGCCCGCTGCGCTGCCAGGAGCAAGCCTGCGTCGGCTCCCCCGAGCAGCGCCTCGGAAAACCTGATAACAGCCACATTTGCATGCGATGCGCGGGCGCACGCCTCGAGCACTCTCGCGATCTTCGGCTGCTTTCAGCTGCTGTGCGTCACATGGCACTGCGCGCTCGCGCTAGCTTGCCGCCTTCTTCCCGACTGCGTCCAATTCCCTGTTGCAAGCTCGCATTAGCCAGTGAAAGAGCGTAAGACAGCTCCAAGTGCAGTATTGCTGCCGCGACAAATTGGCCGATTCGACGCCCGGGAGCTGCACTTGATTGTGAATTTTAAACTCGACGAAAATCCCGACAATGCCGATGCTTTTTCCACTGCCAAGACGTTGATAATCGTCGACAGCTCGTTAAATCTAATGAAACGTGCAGCCAATCGTCGCTGCTTGTCACTTTTTTCCAGCTGCACAGCCAATAGAAAATTCGTCGTATCAATGTGCTTCAGCAGTCGCGAATAAAATATGGCAGTCGCCCGCTCCGCTTCCGTCGCTGTGCTACGGACGATCGTAGCAGGTACTAACTATCGGATTGACATCGGAACGGACGGCAGTCGACAAGCCTGAATAAATAAACGCAGAGCCGGCAGGCCGGAGTCCGTCTCATCGACAATCGGCCCGTCACGCGGCAGCTCTCCGTTGTCGTGGCAAGGGTGCAAGGCTTTTCGGGCTCTTCGAGCTCTTCGGGCTCTTCGAGTCTTTGCGGCGACTCGAGAGAAGTGCACGAAAGGATGTCGCAGCAGTACACAGCCAAATGTAGGATATGCAACGAAGTCTGTTGGAGCTCGCTGTCGGAATCGCTCGCTTTATTCGGACTGTACGTGCCAAGGCGTGCCGAAGTGACAAGAGAAGGAGAGGAAGGAGCGCAGCACTCGGAGCAGCTCGTCCAGTCGACGGAATGCCCGCGTAGCGAAGTCCGAGCGGGCGAGCGCCCGTTCGAGCACAAGTGTCGATGCACCGATTCGCTAAAGCGACGGGGGGACGCGCAGCGGCCAATGGCACGCCGAACCGAGTGCGACGCTTACGTCCAGCCCTCGCGCTCGAGCGTCTACCGAGCTTTCGCCTAATAAGCGGGCCGCACGCGAGCCCGATTATACGTTCATCGAGGCCTCGCTGGGTGCGAGCCAGGCGCTGCACGTGGGCCAAACGGAAAACCGAGCGAAGCAAGTTCATACGTATGCAATTAGCGAGGCCAAGATAGAGGGCTAGGGTTTGCATAATGGAGAGATGCAGTCGGTCAAAGGACCGCGTGGCACTTGTAGCACTCCAATCGACGGGGATAAAGGTGCCGGTCTGAATCTTTGTCCCCTTCGGTTCGCTACCAGTCGCCAATTTGCATCGGCGTGTAATAGCTCGTACTCCCGGACGTCGGCCCTTTGCAACGCGGCACGAGAGCGAGAAAAGTGTCGAGCGCCACGGCACTGCAATAAAAACGTTCGGAAAATCTCTTTGTGCTGGGGCGGCTGCTGAACCGCGACTTTGATCTCCGTCTGCAGCAGGCCAGCCTACATTTCGCTTCTATTTGGCTGGCAGTGCACGACGCCGACGACGACGCGGCGCCGACTCAAGAAAAACTCCTCGTCTGTTCAATGCCTAACAACTGCCGAGCAAAGAGTTTATTTGGGCAGCGCTGCTGCGCTCTGCTCGACCGAATATTTCCGCCCACTTTTGTTTGCTGGCCCTGCGATCGAAGCGCTTTTGCTCGATTGTCGAGACTCTCGGACCAAGCGAACTGCTGAAAGCGACGCTTATTAGCGGCTGATTTGTAGAAGAGAGCTCGAGTTGCCGGCTGCTGCTGCTGAGCCCGGTCGACAAATCAAAAGCCACAGGCCTGGCCGTAGTATCGATAAGAAGCACGGACCGCTATAGCCTTTGAATGCACTAAAGAAGCGTGTGCTCAAGTGTCGAGGCGTCGACAAAACGGATTGGCGCGCGTCGGCATTATTCCAGTCAGGTGTTTCGACGACGGCGAGTATAGCGCGGCCGGCCGCTTAGTGGTTTATCCCGTAATAAAGTGGAGCGGGAGGACAAGTTTTGCCGCGGCGTGCAGCGCAGCGCAGCAAGTTTGTCGGATTGCTCGACGAGTACTTTCGTTCGCTTTATTTAGTTTGTGCTTTATTCGCTGTGTTCTTACCTCGGCGAGCCGCGCGGTGGCATGCATCGCAATGGCCTGTCGGGGCGCCGCCGCGGTCGCGAGCTAACTTTCGGACGGCCTGCCGAACTGTCGCCGGCTCCGCCAATCGCGGATACTGGCGCTGCATGTCGAAATCGGCGCGGACGCGACCGAATCGTTCGCGAGCGCGAGAGGCAGTTGGCGGCAGTTTGAGAGGCAGCCGCGACTTCTGCGAGCTGTAAAAACTGCTGGGAAAGAAGAGGGAGCGCGGATCGCAGGTACTTATTGCTGGAAATTGGACAAGTTTTTCAATAGGCTCGCCCCTCCTCTTATCGGCGAAATACTTGCAAAGTGCTCGGCGCGCGCGCCTTCCGCTAATTCGCGCATCGCGTTTGCATTTGCAGCTGCCAACCGAAGGCGTCGAGTGATGAAGCCCGAGAAATGCCGAGCGTATATTTGGAGGCGAGCGCGTGGAGCCGAATCGCAGCTTCCTTCAGCGGAAAATCGATTCCCGCTGCGGCGCTGCGTAAGCTGCGGCAGCTCGTCTTTTCTTTGTAGCTGAAGGCAGACGCGCCAGATAAAAATTGATATTTCTGCGAGACTCCTCGGCGAGGCGTCGCTGGCGAGGCGTCGCTGGCGAAGCGTCACTGGCGAGGCGCGCCCTTCAACTCCGCCCCGAGATTTTCACTCGTTTAGCTTGGAAATCAAACTTTCAATGCGCCGCTGATTTCTCGCCGATTTCTCTCCGGCACTCTCGGATTTCGTCGAGTCGCAGCCAGGGCGTCTACCGCCGAGCCAACTGCACTCGCCGGCTACCTCTCGCGCTGCCGCGCGTGTGTAAACTTGCGCGCGCGCGCGCGGAGTCGCCGCGCGGCCAAGGCAAAGACTGCGAGGCAGCGGCGCTGAGTCATCCTGAGTCGAGCTGGCTAAATCCCGATCGGACCGACTCAGCAGAGAGAAAAGCAGCGCCGGCAGCCTCCGTCCTCGTCCCCTGCCGCCGCCGCCGCCGCCGCCGCCGCTTTTCCTCGCCTCGCTTAGCCAGTCTCTTTCTCGCTGGCTGCACGCGCCCAATTCCATCGCACTTTGCTCGCGCACAGCCGCAGCTGCTTTGAATAAATTACAACTTTTAAATTATGCCGCTTAGCAGCTGTTGGCGAGCCTTCGATTAGCCCAATCAGCTGCGCTTCTCCGCGCTGCCCCCATCGCTACTTTGCACCCTATAAGTGACCGTCGCCTCACCGCCGTGCTCTTTTTACAACTTTTTATGTCGTCTGGCTGGCGCACGAGCGCACGAGCGCACAAGCGCACAGAGCATGGTCGACAAAAAATCAAGTCCCCAGCGCCGAGAACCAGAATTGCAGAGCGCCAGCGACATTAGGACGCTAATTGTCATTATTATCAGCGGCGACGCGACGCGACGCGACGCATTCGCTTTCAGGTTAGGGTTTCCAATCAGCAGAAAATAGCAGTCGGGCGCTCGGATCGCCGTAGCTGTCCCTTTTTTCGTCCCAAGTGTCTCGTTCGTCGAACGTCCTTTTTCATACGTTGACGATTCGATCGCGGCGCGGTGGCTCTCCTTCCATCCTTCCATCCGTCGGTCTGTCATCCAGCGGCGACCAAGTTTCGCGTTTCGCTTCCGCTTGATTTTTCTATATATCCTGTACGTGCGCCTCATTGCTTCCAGTCTCGCTAATCACTGATTTCCCGTCGCTGCTAGTCCTCTCCCTCGCAGCGCGCTCGGACAGTTGAGCAGCCGAGAGGCTTTTATCCGCCACAGGCAGTTGCCAAGGCGACCAGTAGCGGACACTTTTCAGGGAGCAGCCGTATTGCCGAGCTTTTGTAACGTCGCGCGCGCGCAAAACTTTGACTGCATTCTCTAGATGCGCCATTGAAGCTCTGCCGCGGAAGTACAAGAGTTGTCAGGACGGCAAAAAGAAACCGAGTGGAGCGTCGATGTCGCGCGCAATCCGACTTGTTACGTTCCCGTCACTTTTCCAGCCGATCGAGCACCGAAAATGCGAGGGGAGCAGCTTGCCGCTCACGCCGCCCACGCCGCCCGTCTGATTGAAAAATCAACCTCATTGTCTCCATTCTGGCGGCGCCCATCTCTCGGCGAGCACTGTTGCCGCGACGTCGACAGCTCGACCGGTGCCAGCCCGCATCAAACGGACCGTCGCGATATTCGCACGCACACCCGACATAATGCTGTTACACGAAGAATACTCACGGCCTCCGCCACGTTTTTCCCCGGAGCAATACGATGTATCGTCGTTTTTTGCGCGCGGCGACCCATCGGCTTCTCAGCGCGCGCCAGAGCCCGAGCCTGCTTCGCGCAAAAACGCTGCAATGCCGCTAGCCAAGGAATCCTCTTTTTACGGCTGACGCGCGGCTGTCGAGAGTCGGCCGGGTCTGAAGCGACCTATCGCCGAGGATTGCTCGCTAATCAGCAAGCTTGTCTCGAGCTTGCGTCGGCGAGCTGCCGAGGAGGAACGCTTACGCGAGCCGGCGACGAGCCGACGAGCAAAGAAGAATGGTAGAGCCGTGCGCCGTGAGTGAATCGCAGAGGCATATCACACGGGCACGGACGTGCTCGC